TTGACAGAATATGGATGGCATAGTGCCACCAAACGTGTTGCGGTAAACTCGTCCATCCGCCATCTTAGCCGCTGTCTGCTCTTTAGCAAAATCAACGACCAAACAAAGGGGGCCTCGTTTTGCACGTTTCTTGGCCCGATTTCTTTGTTGTTCTTTTTCGCCACGGGCATGCAAGTGCGCAGCCCTCAAACCCTCTTTTAACTCTTCCAGAAGCTATCGTAATAGCTGTCCTTAAAAATCCATTCTAATGGTGGCAAAACAGGGTTTTTAAGATTCTAGAGAGAATAGCATATGGGCCATACGTCTGGGATCATCAAGGCATGGAGGGCATAAACCGTTCGGGGTTTATCAAACCCCCGCCCGAAGCACCACACATTCTCCTCCTGTCAAAATCGTAATGTGGATGCGAATTGAATCATACAGGTCTTCGAGAGAGCCATTAAAAAGATTTAGATTTTTGTCTCACGATCAGACAAACCTGACCAAGTAACAGAGTAATGGGAAACGTTATTAGCTAGGGCGAGAATTAGCCCTCAATTTGACGCACGAGGATTGAGCTTGACCGCTTCTTGTCAACTCTCCACTTCTTTTCTGTGGTACACATATCTTGCTAAATTGTGGAGAACACTGCTTCATTCACATCGCGTAATTTATCATCCTGAAGGCACAACCAGGCAGAAGTCAGACAGAGATTCCATTCGGCTCCGGAGGATAAACCTTGGAGGACAATCACAGATGTGGCACTCTCGTGCATGGAAATTGCCCGACAAGGGCATTAGGGCCTTGCAAAGTAAGCTGCAGCAGCTGCAAATTCTTAGCAGGCTGTTGTCTGGCGCCCTCTCATCTGTTGCGCTCTCTCGCCTCATACTCTCCTCTTCGCGCTTAGTCTCTCATTGCCTTAGCACAGCCAATTACGAAGGTGAGACAAGCTCTTGACCTCAAGCGTTTTCGACGGAATCTTTCTTTTTTCTTCACTGTCGCCTCATTTGGCACCAGTACGTCTGTATTCATGTGCAAAAAACAACAGTTTGACTGGAGCTTGCCTAGCGAAGACTCTCTCAAACACAAATAGGAAGAGGCAAAAAATCTCCATGCGCATCCATGCGCGTGATATTTTGCGTGCTTATTGGATGGTGCACATTTTCAGAAAAAAAAGCCGCATACCATGAATGCGTGCGTCGTCGCGTCACTGTGACCTAACGATGCACCTCCTGACATTAAGTGTCTGTAACCACCAC